CTAATAAATAAACAAATGTCCACAGCAGTGCTAGTACAACCTTCCCTCTATATCTGAATACTTACATCTACTTTGACAGAAGACCTACTCCAAATGTGGTTAGTTAGGCAATACTGGTATTCCAATCCATCCAAAGTTTTCTGCAGGGTGAGAGGGGTAGCTGGACGGGAAGAGGAAAAAAGGTGGAGCCAAAAGACAAGTACAGGTAGTCCTTGATTTGCAATTGGGCTCAATTACAACCACGCTGAGTCCAAACTTTCTGTTGCTAAGTGATACATTTGCTAAGTGAGGTTTGCCCCATTTTACAAGTTTCCTTGCCACAGTTGTTAAGTGAATCAATGCAGACGTTAGATTGGTAACATGGTTGTTAAGTGAATCAGGCTTCCCCATTGACTTTGCTTGTCAGAAGGTAGCAAAAGGTGATCACATGATCCCGGGACATTGCAACTGTTGTAAATATGTGTCAGTTGAATTTTGATCACATGACCTTGGGGATGCTACAAAGGCTGTAAGTGTGAAAAATGGTCACTTTTTTCAGTGCCGTTGTAACTTCAAACAGTCACTAAACTAACTATTGTAAGTCAGGAAAAATCTGTATGTGTTACTAGTTGCATCTTTAAGTTTAACATAGGAATGAGAATAGTTTTTTTATACTGTTATACTATTTTTATACTAAAGTTTTTTAAAAAAACAGACAAAATGTGCTATTCGGAAGATCTAATGCTGCTGTAGAATTATATCTCATTACCATGAAGAAGAAAAGTTTTAAGTTTACAAGCATGCATTTGAACTGGCATTTTAATGTTGCAGAAACTATAAAGTAGTCTTAACTGTTTAATCTATTTTATTTCATATTCGGATTATGAACGAAACCTTTTTTATAAACAGCAGAAACGTTCACAGGGTTTCAAGCGTTCTTCAAGTAACATAGCAGTCTTTTGGCAGCGAAGGTGTTGATTTTGACAGAAAATTCATTTTTAAAAAGCTTTATTTTTCATAAATCAAGGCCTAATAATTAATACTTAGTTCATATGTAGCAGTTTAACAATCAGATGTATTTTTATAAGGCAAGGCAAGGAACATATTTCAATATTTATTATTATTTTGTATACTCTGACATTATGCAACCAAATGCCAAAACAAATATGTATAGTTCCAGCTATGTAATATACAGTGCCTGACATGTGTTTCTCTCTATGAGCAAATTTCCATTGTGTTCTGCTTCCTCTGTTACTATCTTATTCCAGGAAAATAAGAAAAACACATTGAAAAGGGTGAATAATGTTTTCCGCAATAAGGGATTCATGGGGTGGGGGTATTGCAATGCACTGCATACATCATTCTTCCCAGCACCTAGGACCTGATTTGAACAACACATAGAGGGTAAAGACTGTAACCTGAATGGGTATCATTCCTGAAGGCATTGCAAAATGTGCAGAATCTATCTATCTATCTATCTATCTATCTATCTATCTATCTATCTATCTATCTATCTATCTATCTATCTATCTATCTATCTATCTATCTATCTATCTATCTATCTACCTACCTACCTACCTACCTACCTGTCCGTCCGTCCGTCCGTCCGTCCGTCCGTCCGTCCATCTATCTATCTATCTATCTATCTATCTATCTATCTATCTATCTATCTATCTATCTATCTATCTATCTATCTATCTATCTATCTATCTATCTATTTCTCTTGCAAAGGATATTATTTTAATGTTTTGGCTGAAAGATTTTTTTCTAAGCAGTTTCCCTACAACCTGGCACACAAGCCAGAGAAACTCAGTGGTTGCTAGAGGCTCTCTGCTAACACTGGCCCATCTTGCCTCAACTTGGTAGAATAACTAGCAATGGATGTTATGTGAGCCACAAACTCACACCCACAAAACTGGAAGTAGAAAATTAATATGGCAGAGAAAACGCTATTCTAGAAACACAAATGATTCTTTTGGCAAGCACAGATGTAAATTGCAATAGTGGAGAATAAATATAGCTCAGGGTTGATTTGTTGGGTTCTTGATGTTCTCTAAGCTTGGTTTTCATCTTTTTTTCACCTAAAAGAGTTATTTTTATCTGTCTGTTGAAATAATTTCTGATTTCATTCTGAAATGAACCCTATTAATGAATCTTTTAGAAAGAACAACCAAAAGTCAAAGAAAATGACAAATAAGACTGACCATATCCTCTCTTGTCACACACCTATTAACCAACAGGCAAGTAAGCAAGAACAAGCATCTAATATTTGCTGTAAGCAATAAAAAAATAGCATGCCAATTAAAGAAGAAACATTCCCTCCAATCAATACATGCTACTCAAACCAACACAAACTCCACTATATAAAAGAACCAACAATTGAATTGTGTTAGATATTTTTCAGGTTGAAATCTATAGCTAACAATTGCGGGGAAGAAAATTTCCTCTTCCTGAGTACATTTATTACTGATATTCAAAGGCTCTTTGTTCTAGTGATTTACTGAAATCTGCCTTGTTATGGTTTTGTAAAAGAGATTTCTTTTTTTTCTTTACTTTTCTAAGAATTCTTGAGAATTTCATTCAAATTTGTCTTGGTAATATTTTTGAGCTTATTTTATTGTTGTAGGTTGTAGAGGTTGCTACTGTTAGGCATCCAATGGTTGATACAATGATAACAATGGTTGTCATACAAATGATAAAGATTATATGATTTGTATCATTTGTGATGTTGGCATGACATGACTCTCCCCCCCCTACTACTCATAGTGTTGTTTTTGGTTACATATTTTCTGTCATTTTGAACCCTTCCTGGTTGGCCACATTTCCCACAATCAACAAAGTCAAGGGCTAGATTTTAAGAACAACATGGGATGACAGGGAAGCTATAGATCGACAAAAATAATATTTATACACATCCCTGAAGTACTTCATAAGTAATAAATGCAAAAGCACTTTAGTCCACCCATGCAAATTTCACTTGCATTTTCCTTATCTTTGAAACCAGTTTTAAACACAAATTCTATTTCAGCAATTTGACTGAGATCTGGATGAAAAAAGTGCAGACTTTTTCCTTGTTTTAATGAACATGCATAATTAAGGCCCTGGATATGTGTCTCTCCTCTCAATCTGCTACCACTATTATTTACTACTATTGCCTATGATTGTACAATATGGCTTCAGTTTCAAGTTCTATTATTCACAGAAGACTGGTATCGAATATTTAATGGGCAGTCTCAAAGCAGAAATGGTCAACCAATTTTCCAAAGCAGCTAAGGCACGACAAGCAGTAACGGATGGAAATTTATCAAGGAGAGATTCAACCTAGAACTAAGGACAAATTTTCTAACTCAGAACAACTAATCAGTGAAACAGTTTGCCACCAGAAGTTGTGGGTGTTCCATCAATGGAGGGTTTTAAGAAGAGATTAGACTACCATTTGTCTGGAATGGTATAAGGTCTCTTGCTTAAGCAGGGGGTTGCACTATGGTCCAAGGTCCCTTCCAACTCTGTTATTTCTGTTATGCTGGTCAATAAGCTATATTTATACTGATGACCACATCTTAAAAAGAGTCTTCAAAGCTGACAGGTTCAATATTATGTAAGAGAGTAGCACACCTTTAAAGTCCTGGACTATTTTTCAAATTGTCAGAAATTCAGCTAATCATAATCATCATATTTTCTGGACAAGTATTATTCAAATGGTAATATAGAATTGATTATTATTATTATTATTGATAAGGGATATATATTGAGTTTTATCAGTTTAATTATAACTCTTGCAGTTGCTCTGGTTATTGTTCTTTTTGCTCCCTTCTTGCCTCTCCCATTCCTCCCTCTTTCCATCCATCTTTCCTTCTTCCATATCTGCATACATATTCTTGGCTATTATGCAGAGAATGCTGTCTTGGGAAATGAATTAACTAGACAAAACTACTGTGTAATTAAATGATGAGAACAAAGAAGAGATTTTTATCCTTTAAGAAACAGAAAAGCAGATAAAATTTTGAAGTTACCAAAATATATTTGCTGCCAATGGAAGCGGAATTCATCTGATTTATTTGTTGGAAAAATGCCTGCAAGAAAAGAAGAGGAGAGAAAGCTAAGAAAATTATAACGAATGTTATACCAAATGTTCATGAGATGTTATATTTATTATTAAAGTAGACTTTGGGAAATTCCAAATACCCTCTTACAAAAAAGAGATTTGGACTGAACAAACTGCTGGTAGAAGCACCCTTATGGTTAAGAGCAAGAATTAGAAAATACTATAGTATATAGTTGGATACATTTCAGAAGGCTGGCACTATGTAAGGCAAAGAAGAGGGAGAGGGAACAGGAATCCTGGACACAGATGAGATTGTGAGGAGGATCACGTTGAAAAGTAGATGCTCCATTACTGGTCAATGCAACGTATTGATCAGGTTAAGAAAATAATTGTGAAGGAACAATTAAATAATGTAGTCCATCCACCTAATACTATAGTCCATCTTATACCCAATGCAATTCACTTGACTTAACCAGGTTTTTTTAGCATCAGACCAAAGAGAAATCGATTATGAATAGTAACAGATTATGTAACAATGATGAAATATGTCTCATAATGTCACAACACAAACCCAGCTTTATGACACTGCATGCAGGTAAATAAATCTCATAGCATGTATTGTGTTATTGCAACATAAGTTTCATCATTTGCCCTCTTCCTGTGGCTCATGTATTTCAGTATTACATAAGTTTCATCATTTGCCCCCTTCCTATGAACCACAAGATTCTAACACTTAGCCTTAGTATTCTAAGATTCCAAAACTGCAGATGTGGCACTGCTGCAGAGAAATAATATATTGGAATTAATGAGAGATCTTTAATTTCAATCCTGTAATGTCTTGGCCCAAGTTTAACACTTCAATACTGTTTTTACTCAAGGCTTAATTTCCCCCCAAAACTTGACTGTCTCAGAAGAAGACCCTTGGCTAATCTGAAAAGAACAAGCTTTTGTGTTACCCTTGTTTCCCATGCTAAACATGCTTAGCACTAGAACATTTGATACTTCAGTAGTTGTAGAGATCAAATATATTTACCAGGTTTCTCTCTTCTATCATCTTACAGGTCTTGTAGAAATTTGCCTGATGCATCCCCTCGATGTGGTGAAAACCAGGTAAGGTTCTGCTTGAACAAGTTTTATTGACATTGGAAGGCATCCAAATTGGAAGCTGTCAGAATTCAAAACGCTCAAACTTGTCCAACTAAGATAACTTCTCCCTTTAATGGCATTTATATTTACTTAATCTTTTTCATAGCGTTTGACAGGCAGAATTTAAATGGCATGATGCATTTCTGCTTGGAGGTCATCTGGAGGTGCTAAATACCTCTTTATAAAATGCACTCTTCATGTGACAGCCTGAGATCCTTTTTGTTGAAAAGGAGGAGGGGCCCCTAGGAAGGTGTGTGTATGTGTGTTCCTCTGTATTGTATATATATCATCTAAGGTACTGTTTTGACTTGAAGCTGGAAATGACATATTGCTTTAGAAATAAAATAATATTGATCGCAGATGTGACACAGCTAGTCATATTCTAAAAAGTCATCCAAAAGTATTCTTTCAACCTGTGTTTGCACAGGGCAGTTGGGTAGTTTCATGGTAGCCACTTTCAGGCAAGTTCAGAGATTTATGGATGGCAAGTACCACTTCTTCAGTTGTTTTCAAAAACACTAACATGTTTAGTGCTAGCATTGTAATAATCATTGTATCATCATCGTCGTCGTCATCGTCGTCATCATTATCGTCATCATCATCATCATCATCATCATCATCATCATCATCATCATCATCATCAAAAATGCTTGTCATGGTAAATGTTTCAGATTCTGTTTCTAAAAATCACATCCAGTCAGTTAGCATAAGAACACTGCACCTGAGTCATTTGGGGAAAGCTGCTGTTTCCCCCCCTGCCTTTTGCATTTCAAAACAAAAGTTAGAATAGCTTTAGATTTTGGTTTATTTATTTGTTAGACTTATATCATACCTTACTTCGCAAGCTCAAACCAACATATATAGCACTTAGTGTAACTGAGGGACAGAGAGCTTCTGTGACTGAGGGTAGACTTGAACCTTGTGCTAATCCAGTCCTTTAACTCCTATCTCACACTGGCTATTACAAATTCTGCATTCTGGATATTTGAAATTAAAAATTTAGAGAAATTTAGCCAACTATATTTTTGCATGTTTGCATGGTTCCCCCTTTGCAGCAAGCTGTAAGTTGTTTTAACATTTTATAGGAGCTGTAGTGGCACTGTGTTAGAATGCAGCATTGCAGTCTAACTCTGCCAGTGCCAGGAATTCAATCCTGATCTGTTCAAGGTTGACTCAGCCTTCCATCCTTCCGAGGTCGGTAAAATGAGGGTCCAAATTGTTGGGGGCAATATGCTAACTCTAAACCTCTTAGACAAAGTTGTAAAGCACTATGAAGCGGTATATAAGTTTAAGTGTTATTGCTATATCTTTAACAAACTATGTTAGCCTGGTTTGATTTTGTGCTAAGTCCAAAGTAAACAATGCACATTCTAGTTGGTTATTTATTTATTTGATTTCTATAGCCATCCATATCAACAAGTGACTGCTAAATTACATTTGTATATATCACATCTCTGTGAATGTAATTCAGCCAGTCACTTCACTGTGACTGTATCTAAAACTATTTGTGCAGTTGAGGTTAATTGTCATAAAGTTTCCTGAAGAAACAAGGTACAGAAAATTTCCATGAGCTTTATCTTAAACTAAACAATGCAGCATTGGTGAGGATTGATATATGCAATCAATAACTAAATAAAAAAAATCAGTAACTTTCCAATAGATCTCTCTTATCCATAATTAGGAATTTCTATTTGTCATATAACATTCCTAATTTAATTATCTGTTATTTTGTGCAATGCATCTGAAAATTGCAACACTGGCATTTAATTTGACCCATTAGTTGGGCAAAGGCAGAGTCAACTGTAATTAAGAAAATCTGTTTACAGAGAAAGGAGGTCCAAGATTTGTAGAAGAGATGGGAAAGCTGACACAGGAACATTGTTGTCAACAAATACGAAGGAAACAAGTGTAGCATATATTTGAAAACAGTGCTTGTGAGCTGAGTTGATCCCCTTTTTCTCAGAAGAATGTGTAGATTGGTGCAGTTAGCTATTCTGATAATTTTTCAAAAATATTGTGATACATTCAAAGATCTATGATAAGTACAAAATTAGAAGTTTCTCCTTTATCAAAGAATACATTTAGTGTTCTGAAAGCATTTTATTTAGAAATGTGTAAAAGCGTACATTTCAAATTATGAATTTTTAAAACATATTTGTTCATGAGTAGATTTTAACATGCAGATTAGTGAAGAAAAGCAGTGAAAAAAACATGAAACAGTTCTGTCCATCCTTTTTTGCGGAATGTTCTGTCTTAATTAGTTTACAGTTCTGGTATTCCTATAATTATGTCCTGGAAATGGAGGAAATGGCAGCAATCAGAAAATTTCCCCAGCTCTATCTTCTATTCCTGTTGACAGCTGTCATACCAATTCAAATGAATTTGGGCTATTCATTTAATTTTAAAATATTATGGTCCATACTTAGCACATGGCTCTGTTGAAGGATCTGGGGATGCATGCATGCATGCATGCAACCCGCACATGTGGAAGAGGAGTGTCAGGAAGATAGGATCCAAGATTTCCAAATCTTCAATCAGATATGCCAACATTTGGGCCATCACTTAGTGTAGAGTACATGTTTTATACCAAATGGTTCCAAATTCAGTCTCCATTTGAAGAATGATGGAAAAGATTCTTGGAGACAAAATGGCTGGCCAATGAAGACCCTGTAAACAAAACTAAGCTAGTCAGACCAGTGATCAAGTAGAAGGCAAATGTTGTCACCCATCATATCTGAGCTTAGCATTAAATCATTGATCTACTGACATTTTTCCTGTAAGTTCAGTTCTTGGCTTGGCTTGGCATAGCAGAAAACTCACAGTGCAGCTCAACAAGATTAAAATCATTTTTACAGTTAAGAATGAAGCCATTCCCAAAATTGATGTCAGAAATTTTACAGTGTTCTAAAGTTTTAAACTTTAGACTTCGTTCTCCTGCTGTTTTGAATTAATAGCTACTTGGCACAGTGCTTGATGGCTTTGAACTGAGGTAGTTTTGACTTGCCTACTTAATGGCTACCACAAGTTCCCACCAGGCCAGCCTTCATCTTTACATGCATTAAAGACATTGGCTTTGCTTTTTAAATATAAGACAGCCTTGACACATTTAGTCCTCCAATCTGAATTAGAAATAAGAAATAGAAATAGATGTAATCCAGGAAGAAGGTCATGTGATTTTGTTCTCTGTGTAGCTTGACTCATACTGTAGATGAGAAATGTTTTGAGTTGAAAGATGCCATAAGGATTAAAAATTAGAGAGAGTGCAAAGACATAATCATTGAGTAATGTCAACCGGAAGATACAGTATCCATCTCAATATAGTCCAACCACATCACATAGACACAGCAAACATTCCTGAATTTAGGCGGAATGTTGATGTCTCGCATTAGATCATACAGCTTGCTATTGCCTATTAGTTAAAACAACATTTTAAGTCAAACATTTCTTTGATTGTATGAAATGCAAGCATGAAATTCCATGGCAAAGGCCATTTCTAATGAAAAAATAATTTCACATTTCTCTATTAGCTATTCTTTCCATTTAATGTTTGTGACTATTTTCTGATGGTTTGGACTTATTGGAACAGCTCTGTTTCTTGCATATGTTTCTGAATGCTTCCCAGCTATTTTTTTTTAAGGTACCCTTTCCTTTTATTTTATTAATTTTTTCCCATTTTTATTTAGGTAAGCACTGCTGAAATCTATTCTGAAGTAGTCAATTTGAAGATCGTGCTTACTGTTTGAGGGCCCTGTGTTTCTATATCTGTCTTCACAATTTTGTACAATTTTTTCCATGGAATTTTTGTAAAGAGGATAATTGATAAATCTGAAAATGTCTTTAAAAACTGATAACTCGCTTTATTGAAGGCCTTCTGTCCCTCGTGGAATTCTAAAGATAACCTATTATTTTTAACAATTGAAATATGATGCTTGACAAGCAATTTTATTGTGTCTACCTGGAACATTCACTTCATCTAGACTTACTTTCAGATAAATATGCATGGGGCTTCAGCCTAAATAACTTGCATGCATTTTTTACAAATCTTTTGCTTCAAACATGAACAAGAGAAATTTGTAAAGATATTTGGAGTTACCTTAGAGACTGAGTGAAGAGATGCTGCCTAGGGAACAGTCAGATAAGAGAGCATATAGGCCACAGCTGCACAATGGACTGACTCTGGAGGGATCTTCCCTGACTAATTGCACTGTAAAAGTGATAGCGGGAACATTGTACTTTAAGACTTGCATGATTCTGTTAGTACTGTGTTACAATGAAGTAGAATTAGCTTATCTGACCATGTTTCCTGCCTGGTCTACCTGGTAAGACTGATAGGAGAACACTTTTCTATTAAGAAGAGGGAAATGGGCAGTTAAGAAAAAAAATGAAATATAAACAAACAAATAAATAAATAAGAACCATACCTATGCCATGATGCTGATTTTGATCAGTGTTTATTTAGGCAATCTATCAGATCTGCTGCAGAAATATTTTATTGAAATATTTGTATATTTGAAATATTAAACAGGTGGCATAATATCATTGTTCCATGGCAAGTGTCACCGATGGGAGGAGAACTGTCTACTTGGATGAATGTCTGTTTGGATGAATCAAAAGATAAATTACTCAGGAGAGTATTAGCAAAATATTTGTGCATGGGTTTTTGTATAGAAGTATATACTTGCAGTTGTCAGGGATCTAGAACAAGGTTACCATTTAGCTTTTTGTCACTTTAATTACTGACAACTTACATACACTAGAGAAAGTATGTAAATGGGGACAGTAGATAAATACTGTTTCTGTGTTTATGGAGTGTGTTTCTATATATTTGTTAATCCTGCTTCCTGTTCCTGATATTATAGGAAGAGAACTGTGTGTCTATGGTGGCAAAAAATCAGGAGTCTGCTAGGACTTTTCTGACTAACATATATTATTAAAAGAAATAGGCTTATAACTTTTAATTAGTC